TGAATATTCTCTAAAAATAACGCAAATTGGAAAACCTCTAAAACTTTTCAAAACATAAATGATTTCCTAAGCCATTTTCCTGCCATAGTTTAAAAATAAATCATTAAAATAAATGAGTAGTTTTATGAGTCAACTCATTGAGAGGCAATTTCTATCGTATCATGACACGAATTTTTATTTGTTTCCCTTTGCACAAAGTCGTATGTCTTTTGCCTAAGATGAGAAAGCCTTTTTTTTCCTGCTTTAATTTTGCTTACTTTCCTTACGACAGTCTGAAATCACTAGCTAGTACATTCTCTTTGGATTATCAGTTATGGCTTTGGTTATGATCAAATAATATTTGTGAGGTAAATTTTGAAGTATTTTAAAGCATCACACAAGGTATTGAATTTCTGTGAAATATTTCATTTTTAAAAATCAGTTTTAATCAGGGTGCATGGGGCATAGGAAGTCCCTTTTAGTTAGTCGTTTGATAATAATTTAAAAACAATAATTTGATACCTAGTGGTCTGCATTCAAAATGCATAAAATAAGTTACAGTTCTTGAATGTCGTAATTCAGCCAACATTGGTGATTTGAATGGAATGACAGGACCAAGGAAGAATTAAAATAAAAATAATTCCATACCAAAGAGTCAGAGTCTGTGGGTTAAAGTCCCTGGCCACTGCTTGTTTATCTTTAGACTGGTTACTAAGCCTCTCTGGTCTAAATTTCTTTATCAGTAGAAGGAGGCGGAGGAGTGGCTTATTTGAGCCACTTCTTACTCTCACGATCTTTGATTCTGTGACTGAAATTAAGGCCATTTAATTTCATTCTGATCTTTGCAAATTGTTCATGTCACTTTGTTGCTTTATTTATTTGCAAGGTTCAGCCTAAGCATACAGAGCATATTGGTATTTGTTATATGCAAACAGCTGCAAATGCTGATGGCTGAGCTCCTCCTTTCCTCTCATCAGTTCCTGTTTGCCTGGTATGTGGGCTCCCATAGCATCCTGTCCTGTGGTACTCGCCCAGCCTGCTCCTCTCCGTCCTGCCTTCCCTGTCCTTTCTCACTGGCAGCATCAGGACCTTGTCTCTCCCTGGACTAGACTGGGAAGGGCCACGTTCCCCAACCTGGGCTGGTGTTGCTTCACCGTGGTCCGTGGTGATCCCCACCTACTTTGAGGTCCATGCATTGTTCCCCTTCTCCCTCCTCCTCTTGGGTTTCAGTTAGGTGACAAGTGTGGGCTGAGGCTCTAAGAGGGGACTTGGTGCATGTCCCCCAAAGAACCCTGCACCAAACACAATCTATCCAGCCTGGGCTGAAGCTTCCATTCCCAGAACAAAGTCAGAGAAAGAGGATCATGTATTCCCAACTATAAGGCTCTACCACTTAGAGGAGTTAATTGGCTTTTAGAAGAAAACAACTTGGCTTAATACGGTCTCTTGGCCTCACAAAATCTAACTACTGATTCAGGATGCAAAGCCTGAGACCAAAAGACGGGGACAGTTACAATTTTTTAAAAATCTGAGGAGGATAAGCAGAAACTGTGAGACACAGGTTAAAAGACTTCAAGACAAATACGAGAGAGATTGTTTTGAAAGTGAAGGAAATTTTATTGTCATTTGACTGACACAAAAGAAAACAGTTGACAAGCATTTATTGAGTGCCAGTTGTCTACCAGATCCTATGTTAAGAATTAGAGACATGAATTAGGCATGGTCTCCATCCTCAGCGAGTTTATCATCTAATAAAAGACACACACACTAAGCATAGTTTTAATAAAATGGAGCCAATTCTATGATAACAAACAGAGAATGGCACAGAAACAAGAAGTCTGGTGGTTGGTCAGTGAAGAGTTCTGAGAAGAGATTATGTGTGAAGAATGGGGGAAAGAACACATGAGTCGGAACTAAAGGATGAAAGTAATGTGGAATTCATGGGAACCTGTAAGGAGTTTGGCTGGCTGAGAAAATAGCTGGAAATGAGGATGCAGAGTCAGGCAGACACCAGACACCAAAGAGGCACTTCTTTGGGTGCTTTGGTAAGAAGCCGGAACTTTATCCTTAAGGGAATAGAAGCTATTGAAGGAAGCTAGCTGGGGACATAGATGATCTGGTTTGCCTGCTGGGAAGATGGCTATGACAGTTGTATGGAAGATGAACTGGAGAGTGGCAAGACCAGAGGCCAAGGGACTAGTAAGGGGCATCATGCCAGAGGCTGAGTTTGTGCATTGATCACGTTTCAGAGTCTAGCTGGGACCCTGATCCTGACGGAGAGAAAAAAATAAAGCCAGGCAGTTTACCTGTGAGTTGTTAATGTTCGAAGAAGGCATGTTTTTGATCATTTATTCCATATATTAATGATTTTAAAACCAAGTACCTAATTTTTTCCTTAAGCTCTTAAGTCTTGCTTATATAACATTTTTTTTTAAGATTTCATTTTTTTAGAGAAGTTTTAGGCTCACAGCAAAACTGAGTAGAAAGTACAGAGATTTCCCATATTTCCTTTGTCCCCCCTCTACCCCCAGCCTCCTGCACCATTCACATCCCACACCAGAGTGGTGTATTTGTTACAACCGATGACCCTGCGTTGACTCATCATTATCATCCAGAGTTTATAGTTTACGTTATGGTTCATTCTCGGAGTTGTACTTTCTTTGACTTTGGACAAATGTATAATGACAGGTACCCGTCATTATGGTATCACACAGAGTAGGTTCACTGCCCTAAAAATCCTCTTCTCTGCCTACTCATCTCTCCCTCCCTGCTAACCCCTGGCAACTACTGATCTTTTTACTGTCTCCATAGTTTTGCCTTTTCCAGAGGGTCATATAGTTAGAATTATACAGTTGGCAGCCTTTTCAAATTGGTTATTTCATTAGCAATATGCAGTTATGTTTCCTCCATGTCTTTTCAAGTCTTGCTAGTACTGAATAATATTCACTTGTCAGGATTCACCACAGTTATCTGCTCACCAACTGAAGGACATCTTGATTGCTTCACGTTTTGGCAATTATGAATAAAGCTGCTGCAAACATCCAGGCACAGGTTTATATGTAGACATACATTTTCAACTCCTTTAGGTACATACCGAGGAGCATGATCACTGGTTCATATGGTAAGAGTAAGTTTAGTTTTGTAGCAACCTGCCAAACTGTCTTCCAAAGTGACTGTACCATTTTTGCATTCCTACCAGCAATTGAATGAGAGTTCCTATTGCTCCACATCCTCGCCAGCATTTGGTGTTGTCGGTATTTTGGATTTTGGTCATTCTAATAGTGGCACAGTGGTATTTATTTTGTGATTTTAATTTGTGTTTCCCTGGTGACGTATGATGTGGAGCATCCTTTCTTGTGCTTATTTGCCATCTACATGTCTTTTTCAGTGAGCTGTTTATTAAGATTTTTGGCCCATTTTTAAATTGTGTTGTTTGGGGTTTTTTTTGTTGTTGAGTTTTAAGAGTCCTTTGAATACTTTGATAACAGCCCTTTATCAGGTGTGTTTTTTGCAAATATTTTCTCTCAATCTTTGTTTGCCTTCTCTCACCTAAATGAATGCAGTAGCCTCCTGACTACTCCACGTTTCCATCTGTTCCACTTGGTAACCAGACTCGTCAGTTTAAAATACAGCTGTTTTACTTTCTTCATAGCCCCTTTTTTCCCCTGAAATGTCATGATTAGCTACTTGTTTATTTACTTAATGTCTGCCTTCCCACTGCCTGAATCCCCCCAAAGGAACAAGGATCATCAGTCTTGTCTGCTGCTGAAGCCCCTTTGACTAAAACAGTGCCTGGCATGAAATATGTGTTTATTGGATAAGTGAATATATAGCTATATACCTGTTTATTCACTCAACAGATATATTCATTTAAATATTTATTATATTCATTGTATATATTTGTTATATATGAATGAATAAATATCCCCAAAGATTGTTTTCATATACAGTTTCATTAACATTTTGGGGTGTTGCAGTGGGTGGGTTCATTGTTTCTGTTAAGCAGGAGCTGGGCTGGAATAAATACAGCAACATAAGAAAATGATAAAGGATTTTTTTCTGTCCTGTACCTCACTGAACCATGAACATGATTGGAGTGACACCTAGAAGTACCATAGACTCCTTGACAAAATTCTTCCAGTGCCTCCAAGAAGCCGTGTGCGTGTGTGTGTGTGCACACGCGCGCTTGTACGTATATATGCATATATCACCCAAGATTGCAAGGAGATACTAACAAGGCGATGGTGGATGACCAGGAAGCCACTGGTTGAGACTGAGTGAGAAGGATTATAAAGCAAATGGAATTATCTTTTTGTAATCTCCGGAGTGGGGGATGCGGGAAGGGAAGATGGGTAAACTATTTAAGATGAATGATACAGAGCTACACCAACTGATCTCTCTTGCAGGTCTTGGGTTTGGCAACTACTGGATGAGAATATATATTTATGTGTTTGTAAATGTATTTCTGAACATATTTTTGATGTACTTTAGGGTTTTATGACTATGAACTCTAAACTGTAGTCCAGATTTCTGACGTCCTAGTTAAACCATACGTAGCCTCTGATTTTGGTGCTGAGATTTTTTTATTTTTCTTCCTTAAGTCTCCTTTATCCACACATATAGCCTCGCTTTTGAGGGGCCTCAAGGAAAATGAACACATGGAAATGGACACATCACATTCTGAAGTTAAGTTTTACATGGATTGATTAATCTATGATTAATTTAATGAATTAGGTTTTCTACTTCTGAGGGCTGCTTTTCATTTCTATGTTTTATTCACATTTGCATTCATAAAATGTTTTTAATTACTCAGTGTTTTAGGCACCATGCTCACCTCTAAGATTAAAATTACTAGGAAGGCCGAGCTTAGTTGGGTCCTTGCCTACTTGGGTCTCTTAGTTTGACGTCATAGTCCGTGGGATGACCTTGTGACGCTGGAGCCTGAAGGGTCTTTCCCCAGTCTGCCCACAGCCACGGTCTCTGCCTTGCTATGCTTACAGCCTTTCTGTGCTGTGTTTCAGCAACTTGGAAGTGTGTACAGTATACTTGCTGCAATCTTGAATGTTGGAAACACTGAATTTTCTTCTGTGGCAACTGAACATCAGACTGACAAGAGCCGCATCTCTAATCGTGCAGCTCTGGAGAACTGTGAGTTTTATTATCTTTCATTTAAAACTGAACTGTTAAAAAAAGAAGTCTGATGACATAGTGCACGTGTCACATAAGGATCATTTCAAGCAGTTGTACTTTTATGGAATCCGAGAAAAGAATACTCAGATTCAATTTGTGTAAAATGAAGTTTTTAAAGTCCACCATAAACAGATCTTCATGCCTACAAATGAACTAATTACTGCAGAAGACACAATTAAAATTTAGGAAACTGATCTGAAAAAGACTTAAAGTTGTTATTGTGTAGATCTGGCATCTCTATCATTTTCAAAGTAATAAAGACTTGAATATTTATTTTCATACTGGATGGGTATTTTTACACACGTTCATCTTGGGTTGATTAATTTTGGAGTCATTTTCTATGCAAGAAGTACATCATGGTATTTGCTTCAAATCGACTTTTCTCTTACCAGCAATTTGATGAATTATTTCAGTAATTTAAGGTTTCTCACTGATACCTTCCAGTGGCAAAGCTTTTTTATTTAGAATATACCCTATTTTTTATTTTTAATACTGGCATGTGCCCTCAGAATTTCAGATTTATTTCATTCATAATCTGGGAAATGAATGGAATCCCTATCATCTCCACCCCCTGAGTCCCTGAAACCAGCTTGGTCATACAGCAGAACAAGTGTCTGAGGTTGGCATATAATGAATGGCAGGTATCTGGAAACCATTCTGGTTTTTCATATATAAAGAAAACTTAATTGGCACATAAAGTATTAAGTTATCAAAAGTGGAAAGAATAACCAGAAAATTCCAGCAATAAGATTCAAACCTCACCATCTGATCATAATTAGAAGAGTTATCACCAACCAATAGAAGAGCTCCAACAAGATATGTTGTAGATGTGAGTATACTTAGAAACTGCTAAACTAAAACCTGATTTTGATGACTGAAAACCTATTTCCATATAGCAGTACACAGTTATATGGATCACAAATGGTTAGTATTAATAGGAATATAGTTAAAATGAATTAAAGCACTGTCTGCAACAGCCACTCATGGAAAATAGAAATTTTACTAATTTACATTAAAATAATTTATAATTAAAGTTACAAGGAATTATCTCCAAGCCAAGGCCATGTTTCCAGATGATTTTACAGGTGCATGGTCTCAACCATGTCCATTCTATCCCATAACTCCCTCCCAAATATGACCTTTCCTCTTTATCTCCATCACCATCATTCTCATCCAAGACAACATCATGTCTCATCCAAACTAAGTGACTGCCCAGTTGTTTATTCCACATTAGTTCTCAAACTTTTCCAGGAGTTTCTCCACAATTCATTCAGAAACCACTTAACAAATGTATAAGTGGGTTCCCTCAATTTCCCTCCCCCTTCCTTGTCCCTCTGCCCACTTATACATCTTGGTTAGCTTCCCATTCCCTCTGGATGAAGACCATCAGGACTAGAACTTTGCCATACAAAGTGTTGCACTTAGCAGTATATCCCCAGGTAAAATGCCAGGCACGTAGTACACACTCACTAAATAAATATGTCAAATGATACATCTCAAAAGTGCTCTCCTAGGGCAGTCTACACAAGCAATAGAAATAAAAGCAAGAATAAACAAATGGGACCTAATGAAACTTAAAAGCTTCTGCACAGCAAAGGAAACCACAAGTAAAACAAAATGACAACCTACGGAATGGGAGAAAATTTTTGCAAATGAAACTGACAAAGGCTTGATCTCCAGAATATATAAGCAGCTCATATGACTTAATAAGAAAAAAACAAACAACTCAATCCAAAAATGGGCAGAAGACCTAAACAAGCAATTCTCCAAGGAAGACATACAAATGATCAATAGGCACATGAAAAAATGCTCCATATTGCTAATTATCAGAGACATGCAAATCAAAACTACAATGACATATCATCTCACATCAGTCAGAATGGCCATCATTCAAAAGTCCATAAATGACAAATGCTCGAGAGGCTGTGGAGAAAAGGGAAACCTACACTGCTGGTAGGAATGCAGGTTGGTGCAGTCACTGTGGAAAACAGTATGGAGATTCCTCGAAAGACTAGGAATAGAATTACCATACGACCCAGGAATCCTGCTCCTGGGCATATATCCAAAAAGAACCCTACTTCGAAAAAACACCTGCACCCCAATGTTCATTGCAGCAATATTTACAAAAGCCAAGACATGGAAACAGCCTAAATGTCCATCAGCAAATGACTGGATAAAGAAGAAGTGGTATATTTATACAATGGAATACTATTCAGCCATAAAAACCAACAATGTAACGCCATTTGCAGCAGCAACATGGATGTCCCTGGAGAATGTCATTCTAAGTGAAGTAAGCCAGAAAGAGAAAGAAAAATACCATATGAGATCGCTCATATGTGGAATCTAAAAACAACAAAAACAAAAACATAAATACAAAACAGAAACAGACTCATACACATAGAATACAAACTTGTGGTTGCCAAGGGTGCAGGAGGTGGGAAGGGACAGACTGGGAATTCAAAATGTAGAATAGATAAACAAGATTATACTGTATAGCACAGGGAAATATATACAAGATCTTATGGTAGCTCACAGCGAAAAATAAAATGTGACAATGAATATATGTATGTTCATGTATAACTGAAAAATTGTGCTCTACACTGGAGTTTGACACAACATTGTAAAATGACTATAACTCAATTAAAAAACGTTTAAAATAAATAAATAAATAAATATGTCAAATGACTGAACAACGTGGGAATAGAAACAGACATACCAATCAATAGGAGACACTGTTCAGAAACAGATCCAAGTGGAATTCCCAGAAATGGCATTACAAATCACTAGGGGAATCAGTGTTCTAGGGACAGCCAACTGGGTGACCATTTGGAGGAGAGGGAATCTGAATCCTTCCCACACACCACATACCACAGTGAATTGCAAACATGTATCGACTTAAATGCAAATAAGTAAATAAATAAATAAAATGAATACACAGAGCAAAATGTATTTATATAATCCTGAGATGAAAACCGACTTAAAGAACTTTATGTGCAGAAAACCAAGAGCAGAAATGATTTTTGAAAAGGAAGATTTGACTACATAAAATTTAAAATTCTTTCATACTAAGAAAAAAGGAAAATGAATGAAACTGCAATGCAAATGAAAAATGAGGGAAAGTATTTGCAGCATACATATCATTATTCTCTTTAAACTGTAAAGAGGGCTTATAAATTGATTACGAAGAGATGAATATATCAGTGGAAAAAGGCAGTTCACAAAATAAGAATGACGAATCACTGATAAAAAATATGAAAAGAAAGTATTCAGCTTCCCTAGGAATCAAAAACAAATTAAAAGAAGAAAGCATTACTTTTAAAAATAATAATCCTCAGTGTCCATGAAATTGTGTTGAAATTATTTACCTTTCATTTGGCTGATAGGAGAATAACGGTTCAGAATTTTTGAAGAGCAACTAAACAGTATGTATCAAAAGGTTTAAATATGTTTATACACTCAGAACCAATTGCAGAATTTAGGCAATTTATGCTAAGGAAATAATACAAATCAGGAACACAGGTTCATGCCCAAAAGATTTATCCTAGCATTCTTTACAATTGTGAACATATGGAAATAACCTAAATATCCAACTATTTAAAAATTAATGTTATAATCAACTATACTTCAATAAAAAATAAAATTCAAAAACTTGATGTATTATGATACATGGCAGAACATTATGCAGCAAATTTAAATTTTATAAAACAATAGTCAACAAAATGGGAAATGCTTAAGACATTAGGATAAAATGCATGTGCAGAATAATGATAATAAACATGCCCAGAAGGAAAAGAAATGCAGAATTTTTTTTGAAGGTAGGATTTTTGCAGTAAGCCTATATAGTGCTTCTACAGAGTGAAAAAATATTTTGTTTAAATAAGGTTCCACAGTTTTAGCCATATAACCAAGAAATATCTTGTCCAAAATGCTAAATGTATAAAGTGTTCAAATTTTTTTAAAAGGAGAATTATTGATTTGAAAGATTAGCTTGACATGAAATAGTTTGGGTTAAGTATGTTTATTATATTCAAAAATGAATTTTGTTCACTGAGTTTAAGAGCTATTCACTTAAAATTCCCTGTGATATTTAATTATCATTAAATGTTAAATGCTCAGGCAACAAGTTTTAGCAGACTTTTGTCATTGAAGTATGTAACTGAAAAGTAGTATGGTAAAAAGTATATGAATGTCATGATGTTTTATGCAAATTTGTTTCTATATTGCAAAAGATACTTAAAATGCATTAGTTTGGGTAGTCGTGGCCGAGTGGTCAAGTCAATGGACTTGAAAATGCATTAATTTGGGTATATCCCTGAAGCTTAGGTAACCTTACAATCAATTTCTACATTTTGAAAATGTGTATATAATAGTGGTATCCAAATGACAGCAAAACTGTTCATTATGTTTTTAAACTATTTAACATAATTCAGTGAAATTATGTTTGGCATCAGCCAAACAACCACTGGTTTGTACAGCTGGTCACTCTCAGCCAGTCCGGGTTGAGCGGTGCTACATTTTACAATAGCCAACATTTGACCCGTCAGGGTAAGCAGAGGAAGATGATTAAGAAGAGACGAAGGACTCCTATTGAATAGTGACTTATTTTTACATTATAAAATCTTCGCATATTTATTTCATGTCATTTGAAGAAGGTGAACTACATTTTCATTCTCTGGGAAATTACATGATTGTCATAATTTCTTCTAACCACCTATCTGGTTTTTTGTTTGTTTGTTTGTTTTAGCGGCTTCTTTGCTTTGCATTCAAGCAGATGAGCTGCAAGAAGCTCTCACGTCCCACTGTGTGGTCACCAGAGGAGAAACCATCATACGACCCAATACTGTAGAAAAAGCTACTGACGTCAGGGATGCGATGGCTAAAACTTTATATGGACGCCTGTTTAGTTGGATAGTCAACCGCATTAACAGCTTATTGAAGCACAATGCACCACCCAGGTAAAAATCTTCATAGAAACGTTTTCCCCCAAATGCCTGGTGATGTAAATCTGCTTTCTAATTCACTGATTTGTACATGAATCCCTTTGAAGATATTTCTAATTGGTATCACTTATCAGTAAAGTTATATTTCTAGTAGGTCTGTTTGGTTTCCCAATGGTACCATTTCATTGCACCATGTATCTGCAAAGCTTTAAAACTGCTGGACCATAAAAACTGTGGCAGTATGAATAAACATAATAGAAAGTGATTTTTTAAACTATTTCTTACTATCAGTTTATATGTTCTTAGATTAGAAGATGTTCCGTGATGCACATACCATTTCATACTTGCATAAAATATCTGTTCAGCAGTGTTTTGTTTTAAGGGATTGAATTTAATCTTCAAGGCAAAAGAAAACATGCTTTTCATATTTTAACTCTTACTGTAACCCAGTAAAGGTAGGTATGACCTCCAATGAAATTTGGTTCAGAAATGCTCTAAGTAACTAGTAAATCATGGAGCAGAATATGAACAATGTTACAGAGCCATGACAGATGTAAGATATAACAGAACTTAAATCTACGACATGCCTAGTACCTTGTCTTTGAAATAAAGATAACCACAGCCACCACTGACGGAGGGCTCTCCACACACCACAGATTGTGCATAGATATGTTCATACATTTACATCCAAAGCTTTGTTCTTGCCGTAAATTATACAATTGTCAGAAATTTGTATTTGAAAAATAAGATGGATTCCTACCTTAAGATCACCTCATGTGCACCACACTTGCTTACTAAGCATAAAAGATTTCATATACATTTCAGGCATGTAGTTCACTGTTATTTCTCCCTAAATACATGTCACATCATAATATTCAAAATAATCTAAGAGATTATCCATTACCCCTCCATGTTCTTAACTGTCTGTCCCTCAAAATTGCTTCTTTTCAACTCCCTGTCGAACTGTACCCTGTCTGACTAGATCTGCAAATCACAACCCACTTTGCCTGTTACAATTTAATGGCCAAGACAGTTTGTATGTTCACGTGTGGCCATTTGTAGGATGCCAAGCTTTCAGATGAAAATGGAGAAATTCCAGAATTTTTCTGTATCTGTGTATTCCGTAAAATGTAGGCAATATCTTCAGATACTTGACCTCATTTTGTTAGCTGTCATCCTCGTGTTTGATACTAAGTGGTACCCAGGAAGCTGTGACTTATAAACATGTGAATCTGCTGCAATAGCCTGCCACTGCTGGGTGACTTTCCTTTCCATACACTGATGAAAACTATTCAAATCTTAGATGTTTACACTTTTGGTAGACCATTCGAGTAGTTTGGTTCAATCTGTCAAGATTTACACCAAGATTTTGGAGAGATGTGTTCTGTGCCAGGCTTGCCCACCAACTCGTCGTGTGACCTTGGGCAAGTTACTGCATTTCTCAGCCTCTCCTCCTTGCAGTTGAAAAGAGTCATGGAGTGACAAGTCATGGTCTTCATTGTTGGTGGGTATCCTGGTGCCTTTTAAGAATCTCTTGAAAACTGTATCCTCCACTCCAAAATAAAAAATGGATCTTTTTCTACATACTCACCAAAATATTGTACAAACTTGTCATTTCAGACCTTTTGAAGGTCATTAACAGATCCCAGTTTAAGGATCCCTCAACTAGCTCATCTCTAAGATCCTCCTGGCTCTAACACATTATTATTATTTGAGTTAAATAACTATCTCCGTGGGACCCTGTGGGACAAAGAGATTGTAAAAGAATAATAATTTTGACTAAACCAGGATAAATTTTAACTAGACATTTTTGCCTTATGTAACCACATTGAATTACACTTACTATTCAAAATAGGAATTTTCAGAGACATTCAGGTATCTTTCCTTTAGTCCATCCCGTCACATGTTCAAAGTATTTTGTAACTCTGTATTCTGAACTCAGTCAGTTCTTCAAAATATAGGGAACACCCGTCAGTTCACAGCATGTGGTTGCTAGCTGTCATCTCCAAAGTTAACCGAGAATACATAAATAATGAACAGAAAAGGAAAGGTTTGTACTCTCCTTTTTAAATTCACAAGGAAATAACTTTGCAATATATATATTTCTTGGAGGAGGAGTATAGTGTTTGACCAAGTCTCTGACCTTTAGTGAACAGAGGTGACCATTATGGAGGGGCAGGGGGAAAAATGCATTTGGAACACTGAATTGTAAAATAGTATTTAATTGTATTTTAAAGTATTTAATTCTAAAATAAATTCACATATGCTTATATCTTTCTCCAGGTTGCTGTTTATTCCATGTTAAAAAAAAATTACGTGTAACTAATTCAAAAACAAATAACAATTCTTTAAAATAAGTAAAATAGTTTTAGCAAGATGTTTAAATTGTTCTCTAGTGAGAGACTACTTTTTCATAGAATTTTTGATTTTCTGGTATGGTTTATATTGAACATGTTTATTCTGTGTTCTCAATGCTGGCTAGGTTTTCCCTGCGATTCATGAGTCACTCAGGGCTGTGATTTTTGTATCTACAAACCCATAGGAGAAAAAAAACATTCTGTTTAAGTGTACAAAAGAGTATAGGAGTGATTTCTGTAGTACAAGGAAAATATTATAACATCTATATATTAAAATCGATGCTACTTACTTTATATTCCGTGGACAGAAGCTTTTTCAATTAAAACAATTTTCACTCTATATCCTGGTAGTAGGTTTTTTGGGGGGTTTTTTTCTTTTCTTTTTTTTTTTTTTTTTTGCTAAATCACAAAAATGAGTCTGAAAGATCCTGCTTTAATTACCTCCTGAGAAAATAAATAAGAACTCAAAATAATGTCTCCTAAACTTTCCAGTAGGAATGGTGATGAACTAAGCATTGGCATTCTGGATATATTTGGCTTTGAAAACTTCAAAAAGAATTCCTTCGAGCAGCTGTGCATTAACATTGCAAATGAACAAATTCAGTATTATTTCAATCAACACGTCTTTGCATGGGAACAGGTGAGCTGTGGTATTTTATTCTACGTAGTATAGATGCATGTGTGTGTGTGTGTGATGTGCAGAACTGTACTATGAAGCAAAATCTAAATCATAGATTTAAAATCTTAAACACTTGATAATGATCAAAAAAAGATTTCCTTTTCTCCATGGTCGTAGTGAAAACAAAAACAAGCCAAAAAAATTAGTATAAACAGAGGGTGTCTTGTTACATGATGTTGGGTGTCTTCCGCCAAAAATCACCGGACTCTCCTCCAAAACTTAGCAGCTCTGAGTTCTTGCAAGCAAAGAAGTTTCCTTTGGAAATTTAAATCAGCTGATGTATCTGGCTGTTTCTCTTTCTGTAGACTGCATAGCTGAAATTCTGTTTGAAATTTAAATACCCATCTAAAATGCATTAACTTCAGAATTCCAGTAGCTAGGCAACAGAACATAAGATAATAGATTTGATGTAAATCCCATGAAACGATAATTCTGTCAGAGTGCCATGTGTAATTTATGATTCAGCTTCAAAAATCAGAGACTTATTTGAATTGCATTTGGCAAAACTGTAGTATTAAAATTATTTTATTAAGTCTAAAAGAAGTAGTCGTATTTTATATAATTTAGTGTGTCATTGCTCCTTTAAATAATACTAAATTGTTTTGTGTTTACTGATTAAAACTGAAGTTTTTATTAAGTCGTATGAGCTGCTTATATATTCTGGGATCAAGCCTTTGTCGGCTTCATTTGCAAAAATTTTCTCCCATTCCGTAGGTGGTTGTTTTGTTTTACTTATGGTTTCCTTTGCTGTGCAGAAGCTTCTAAGTTTCATTAGGTCCCATTTGTTTATTCTTGCTTTTATTTCTATTGCTTGAGTAGACTCTTCTAGGAGGATATTTTTGAGATGTATGTCAGATAATTTTTTGCCTATATTTTCTTCTAGTAGTTTCGTTGTATCTTGTCTTATGTTTAAGTCTTTGATCCATCTTGAGCTCATTTTTGTGTATGGTTTAGAGAGTGTTCTAGCTTCATTGCTTTACATGGTGCTGTCCAGTTTTCCCAAGACCATTTGCTGAAAAGGCTGTCTTTATTCCAGTGTATATTTTTGCCTCCTTTGTTGAAGATGAGTTGACCAAAAGTTTGTGGGTTCATTTCTGGGCTCTCTATTCTGTTCCATTGGTCATTATGTCTGTTTTTGTACCAATACCATGCTGTCTTGATGACTGTAGCTTTATAGTATTGCCTGAAGTCTGCGAGAGTTATTCCTCCAGCCTCTTTCTTCCTCTTCAGTAATGCTTTGGCAATTCTAGGTCTTTGATGGTTCCATATAAATTTTATTATGATTTGTTCTAGTTCTCTGAAATATGTTCTGGGTAGTTTGATAGGGATTGCATTAAATCTGTAGATTGCCTTGGGCAGTGTGACCATTTTAACAATATTGATTCTTCCAATCCAAGAGCATGGGATATCTTTCCATTATTTAAAGTCTTTAATTTCCTTTATCAATGGTTTATAGTTTTCTGTGTATAATTCTTTCACCTCCTTGGTTAGATTTATTCCTAGGTATTTTATTAGTTTGGGTGCTATTTTAAAGGGGATTGTTTCTTTACTTTTTTTTTCTGTTGATTCATCATTAGTGTAAAGAAATGCAACGGATTTTTGAACGTTAATCTTGTAACCTGCTAACTTGCTGAATTCTTCGATCAGCTCTAGTAGTTTTCGTGTGGACCTTTTAGGGTTTTCTATATATAGTAACATGTCGTTGGCATATAATGACACTTTTACCTCTTCTTTTCCAATTTGGATCCCTTTTATTTCTCTCTCTTGCCTGACCAATCCAAAAATGGGCAAAAGACCTAAGCAAGCAATTCTCCAAGGAAGACATACAAATGATCAATAGGCACATGAAAAAATGCTCAATATCACTAATTATCAGAGAAATGTAAATCAAAACTACAATGAGGTATCACCTCACACCAGTCAGAGTGGCCATCATTCAAAAATCCACAAATGACATACTCTGGAGAGGCTGGAAAGGGGAACACTCCTACACTGCTGGTGGGAATGCAGTTTGGTGCAGCCACTGTGGAAAACAGTATGGAGATTCCTCAAAAGACTAGGAATAGACTTACCATATGACCCAGGAATCCCACTCCTGGGCTTGTACCCAGAAGGAACCCTACTTCAGGATGACACCTGCACCCCAATGTTCATAGTAGCAATATTTACAATAGCCAAGACTTGGAAACAGCCTAAATGTCCATCAACAGGTGACTGGATAAAGAAGAGGTGGTATATTTATACAATGGAATACTACTCAGCCATAAAAACCGACAACATAATGCCATTTGCAGCAACATGGATGCTCCTAGAGAATGTCATTCTAAGTGAAGTAAGCCAGAAAGAGAAAGAAAAATACCATATGAGATCGCTCATATGTGGAATCTAAAAAACAAACAACAAACAAACAAAAACAAAGC